GGGGGAGGGAGGGTTCCTCGGCGCCGCGAAGCGAGCCGGCAAACACAAGACACCACGCCCAACAAAAGCAGATCTCAAGTCAGGGACCGGACGCGCTGAGGGGCGCGGAGCACCATCGAGGGCCAGAGCCGGATGGCTGGCCATCTGGGCGATCGGGCGTGCGTATTCACACGTGACTGATAGAATCATCGTGACCCTCCGTTTCCCAGCTGAATTGGCCGCCGCCTTTTCAGCGGGCGACTTTCCAGGCTCGATCGCTTGGCGGGGAGGCTTTCACACATTCCCCCGCTGCACCCTCCCCCTTCTGTCTCCCTCTCTCCCTCTCTCTGTCTCCCCCTCCTCCCGCCTTGGGCCTGATTTTTGCTCGCCGCCCCCGTCTCTTGCCCCCCCCCCTCCCCGTCCATCTCCCTCTGGCCTCCTCTTGCTGCCTGCCTCGGGCCGTGGAGCATGTCTTTCCTCTGGCCGTTTGTCAGCCGGCCATACCTGACCCGGCGGCCGGCCTCGACGGCATCGCCATCGGCAGAGCGTCCCTCCGGCCCGGGCGTCGAGGGGACGAATGCTCGCACCTCATCGACGTCAGCCTCCGCGGCCCTGCCACCGGACCTGGTTGACCTAGTGTGCCGCTATGCCGCAGATGGCTGTCTCGAGGACTGTACCATCAACCATACGCCGCACCTGGGGCAAAACCTCAACACGGCCAATGTCTCGCTCGACCTTTCGTCTGTGTATGCCCCTGCTCTTGATTGAGTTGTACATCCTTCTGCCTTGCCATCTTTATCCCCCCTTTCGACCGCGTGCCCGATCCGCCCCCCCCCCTCCTTGGCGATTGATTAACCCCCCACCTGGTGTTTCGGTTGCCCGGCAGAAACATCGCCTTCGACGAGGCGTCGCATGCGATTTTCTTCCTGTCCATCTGCTTTCTGGTGTATGACCTGTTTGTCCAGCCGCTGCCGGCGAGACCGGCCGGCTGGGCATACGACTTCCCCCCGCACTTGCCGCGCTTCTGCACCCTGCGCGAGCTGGCGGCCCTGTCGCAGCTGCTCTACATTGCCAGCATCTGGATTGCCCGGCTCGGGGATTTCCGCCGGCTAGAGTACTTTGTCACCTCGCACTTCACGGTCCTTGTGCATACGCTCGTCTGGATGGGGGCTCTGTCGGTAAGAAGCGCACGCCCTGCCCTTTCCCTTCTCTCTCTCTCTCTCTCTCTCTCCCCATCCATCCCGTAGCGCTCAGTTGCCACCACGCCACTTGCCTCTGACCCGGCCAAATCCCCTTCCCCGCTCCCGGCTCCCAGTACCCGGGCGAGCCGCTGGTCGGCACGGCTACCCATGCCCCGGCAGGCCCCGGTGCCGGTTCCTTGGCTGACCTGTCGGCCTTCCTCAGCCTCGGAGCCTGGCGGACACGCGTGCGCCCGGTGCTCACATTCTACGCGTGCTGCCTGACCCGCGTGCCGATGATCATCCTGGTGCAGCATGCCACCGGGGGGTTCCTTTGGAAGTTCCTCACTTGTGCCGTGAGGTCCGTTTGCATCCTAGCGCTCCTCCCGCCCCTCTTGCTCCCCTTGTCGTTGCTCTTTTTTTTTTTGCCGCTGTTCCATGCACCTCACTTCGCGCGCCCCCCCCCGGGACACACGTAATCTCACCTGCTTCGCCTCTCTGCCTGGTCCCGATCATAGCCCCCTGCTGGCGGCCATGTACCAGCGCATGTTCCTTATCCCGGATTGGGCACCGGAGCTGGTGCTGGTGCGAACTGGCGCCAGTGTCAGCCTGGGCGGCTTTCCGCCGGTGGTGAGCTCCTTGCTGCTCGGAACCCTGACCGGCGCGGTGTTTAGCTTGCTGCTCAGCCTCCCGCGGGCCATCTTCCTCGGGCCCATCTACTGGGAGGATTTCCTCCGTCGGGGATTCGTCCTGAAGCACGTCAACAAAGACACCGTGGGTATCGGCCGAATCACCAGCTAGGGTGTGACTCTCCCTCTCGTCCGCCCTTCTTGCCTCGCCCCTCTGGGGTTTTCTCGAGCACACGTGTGTTGGACAGCGGCCCACTGGCACACGCCTCCAGACATGTGTCCACGCGGACGAGCGAGCGAGCGAGCGCGCACCCTCACTTTCTTTCCTCCCTTTCCCCTCTCTCTTCCCTATTCCTCACCCACACACCCACACACACACACACTGTTTGGACTCTCACTCTCAATACATCCTCCATAGATCAGGCGGTCTCGCCTTCGACAGGAGCCTTTGCGGCTGTCCGTTTGCGCTTGGGGACCGGAGCTACGGGGTTGTCAGCGGCATCGGGCAGGTGTGTATGCATGTGTGTGCATGTGTGTGAGAGCGGGGGGGGAGAGGGAGGGAGAGAAGCAAAGCCATGGGATTGGAGCATGGATGGGGAAGGTAGTCGCACCGTTGACATTTTCCCGCAGGTAGAACTTCTGCAGCAGGGACACCGCCTCCTCGGCGAAGTAGCCGGTGCGGCATTCCAGCGGCGGCAGCCCGGTGTCATATGGGCTAGAGAGGGCGTGGGGGAGGGCGGTGTCAAAGGAAGGGCAAGAGGAGAGGGGCCCGAGCGGGAGCGGCAGCGGGAGTGATTGTGCACAAGCGAGAGCCAATGGCCTCAGCACGTACTACGAGTGAGCATTGATAATGGAGCCACACCCGCCGAACCGGTCGTTGGAGGCGCCAAAGAAGCACAGTTGGATGCCTGGGCGGTGCGCCGAGAGACGAGGGCGTGAGTCATCGAGTGCTCGAAATAAATGTGCTCCTGGCGCAAGGGACGTACCAGAGTGCCGCAGGGCGCCGGCACACATGACGCAGGGCTCCAAAGTCACGTAGAGAACACATTCGGAGAGGCTGTGTGTCAGGTTGGCAGCTGATGCGTCGGGGTGCGCCGCGCGGAACTCGCTGACGAACTGGTCGATAGCTTCGACCTCAGCATGCCGGGTGGCCTGAACGCAGGAACATGTGCGCATGTGTGTGAGAGAGAGAGAGGGAGGAATGGCGACCATCAGCGTCAAGGGGGATGAGGGCGGGGGAGTGACGCAGCGACATATGTATCCACAAGGTCGTACGTTGTGAGTCTCGCTCGGACGGTTCCTCCCGCGCGCCACAATCTGGGCGTCCTTCACGAGGACACACCCGACCGGGACTTCGCCCAAGTCGAGGGATTCTTGAGCCTGCGGCCGAAAGTGGGAAGGTCAGACTCCCTGGCCAGGTGGATAGTCATCGGGACCATCCGGATCGAGGGGGTGGGATGGGACGCACCAGCCGGAATGCCTCGCGCATGAAGGGCTCACAGTAGACCATGTCCTGGTCGCGCGGCTTGGAAAAGGAAAGCGTCATCTTGGATGGGGCAGCAACTATGAGACGGGCATGGGGCATCAGTGGCGCTGCGGTTGACCAGCATGGGGGCGCGTGCTGGCGCACCGCTTGACAGGGGACGCTGCCTTGGCAGGGGGAAGCGCGAGCCGGTTCTTAAAAAGGTACGAAGTATTTTGGCAACCAAGGACCGGGGGGGGGGGGCAGGGGCAGAGAAGGGCAGCACGACCGGGATATGGGCAAGAGCAAGGCAGCAGGCGGGAGAGCAGGCAGGGAGGGGACGGGCGCGGGGGAGAAGGGGCGAAGGGGGGAAAAAAAAGAAAAAGAAAAGGATGCCAGGATTGCACAGGGTGTTGGGTAGGCGTCTCAACGCGTGGGACCTGGTGGGACACTTTTCTTCGGGGTGCCCGTTCTGGGCTGGGAGACCGCATCGATCAATCTTTGACTCGGTCGTGGGAAATACGCCTCCGGCGAGGAATGTCATTGCGTGAGACCGTTATCCGAGGAAAATCCCCCCGCCACGATGAATTTTCGCGGGTGTCACACATGAAAATTGGGCCCCCCCCCCCCGCCGCCCAGGTTTCTCCAACCCAAACACCACGGCCGAGGATCTCGCACCACACTCGCCCGTTCGGTCGGGGTGGGGGTGGGGTGGGGGGGTAGAGGGGGCCCTGTTCCTCCCGAAGAGCCTCCTGGGCGGGCAATCTCCCCTCGACGGGCGAGACATGAAATCTCCCAGCCCATTTCCCTCCCCCTCCCTCCTCCCCGCCCCTGCGCACGCGCCCTCTCCATATTCCTATTTTTTCCGCCTCTCCTCGATACCCCCGTGACGAGCTCCTCCCTCGCCACTTCCAGGCTGAACGCGGAGTCACCGGCCCCCAAGCGCGGCACCTGGAGTCGGTCATAAAGAGCGTGCTGTCTCCCCCGCCTCCCCGGACCGAAGATGTACATCCGCGAGATCATTGTCGATGGCTTCAAGTCGTACGCGACGCGCACGGTGATTGCCGGGTGGGATCCAGCCTTCAATGCGATTACCGGCCTCAATGGCTCGGGCAAGTCCAACATCCTGGATTCCATCTGTTTTGTGTTGGGCATTTCCAATCTGAGTCATGTATGTTGCCCCCCCCTGCCCCCCCCCCCCCTCCCCTCCCTCTCCCTCCTGGGCTGGCTGTCCCTGCCTTTCATATCTTCTCCTTCCCCCTGTCCCTGGGCATTTGCTGACTTTCTGCCCTCTTCGGCCTCCTCTTTCTCTTTTTTTTTTCCCCCTCGATGAAGGTCCGCGCCGGGAACCTCTTGGCCCTGGCGTCCAGGCCGGGCCGGGCGGGCAACACCAACCCAGCGGTAACATTTGCATCGGCCAATCCGGCCCCCCAGCACAAGCCCGTGGGGTATGAGTCCTACCCGACGATCACCATCACCCGGCAGGTGTGTTTCTCTTGCTCCTCGCTCTTGCCCTCGCCCCTTCCGTACACAGATCGATCCTGGCGAGGCATGCTCCCTTCTCGCCCGCCTCCCCCTCCGCCTCGTGGTCTCGATACTCACCCTCCTCGCTTGGCCAACTGCCCCTGCCGGAAATGCAGATTGTCATCAACGGCCGCAACAAGTACCTGATCAACGGCATGAATGCCCAGCAGAAGGCCGTGATGAACCTCTTCCAGTCGGTTCAGTTGAATGTCAACAACCCGCACTTCCTAATTATGCAGGGGCGCATCACCAAGGTCCTGAGCATGAAGGCGCCGGAAATCCTGTCCATGATTGAGGAAGCCGCCGGCACGCGCATGTTCGAAGACAAGAAGGACAGCGCCATCCGGACCATGGAGCGCAAGGACAAGAAGTTGGTGGAAATCCAGACGGTACGTCCTTCCGGCTTGGCGTCGGCCCGGGCGCGATGTCCCTTCGCACTGGCGCGGTTGTGGGCTTGCCATTCTCTTTGGGCCGGAGCATCGATTGACAGGCGGTCCTTGTGGGGCGGTGATTGTGCGGTCCTGCGGCGGCCCGGTGGGAATAGCTCCTGTCGGAGGAGATCACCCCCAAGTTGGACAAGCTGCGCAAGGAGCGCTCGGCATTCCTGGAGTTCCAGAAGATCGAGAGCGAGCTGGAGCGCCTGCAGCAGCTGGTGGTCGCGCACCAGTACACCACCCTCTTTGGCAAGCTGCACTCGCTGGAGCAGGCCGCCGAGGAGAAGACCGCCCGGCGGGGGGCCCTGTCCGCCGAGCGGGCCACCACGCAAACGCGCATCGACGAGGCCCAGGCCCAGGCCAGTGACCTCCTCCGACAGAAGGAGGGCAATCAGCTGCTTCGGGAGTTGACCGAGACCACGGAGCGCCTGTCCGAGGGGCTGGTGCGCCTGCGCACGCAGGTGGATCTCAAGCGCCAGACCCAAGCCGAGGAGGCGGCCGGGTTGGAGCGGTCTCGCGGCCGGTTGGCCGTGTTGGACCAGCAGCTCGCTCAAGCCGACGCCTCGGACGGGCGGCTGGCCATGTTGCAGGCTCGCGCGCGGGCCATTGTCAGCGAGCTGGACGAGAAAAATGAGGCCGTTCGCCGGGAGGACGCTCTGTTGTCGACGCTGGCCACCGGCGTCGGCGGGTCGGATGCCGGGTCCAGTGGCTTTGCCGAGAGGTTGCAGGGTGCGTTGCTGCTTTCCCCGGGCCCTCCCTCCCTCCCTCCTTCCTTCCTTGTGTGCATGCATTTGCCGGTGCCTAACCCTGGTGCCATTGCCTCGACTGGCTTCCCCGGTGCGCATGTCGGCCACGTAGAGGCCAAGCAGAATGCCGGGCTCATCCTCAGCGAAAAGAAGCAGGCAGAAACCCGGCTCCGGCACTTGGGCCAGGAGCTGGAGCTGAAGCGGTCCCAGCTCCAGGCGGCCTCGGCCTCGAGTCAGGCCCTGACACAGCGGTACGCTCAGGCGTGCGCCGAGCTGGATGCCATCAAGGTACGCCGGGGGCCTGGCTTGTTTCTTCTCTTCCTTGGGTCCCTCTCCTTTGCCCTCGCGTGCCGCCACATGCTGACTCACCCGGCTGGCTGGCTGGCTCGGATTGTTTTTTTTTTCCTTTGGCAACAACAGGCGCGCCTGGCCACGGTCAACTTCGACCCGGCCCATGAGCAGGCCCTGCAGGCGCAGCACCAGGCCGCGCAGGAGGCCCTGGCGCCCTTGCTCCAAAGCAGCCGCCAGCTGACGGACAACCTCCTGCGCGCGGTGCAATTCCAATTCGCCGACCCGGTGGCGGGGTTTGATCGGTCCCTGGTCCGAGGCCTGGTGGCCGAGCTGATCCGCATTCCGCCGGAAAACTTGCACACGGCCACGGCGCTGGAAATCGCCGCCGGTGGGCGTCTCTACAATGTGGTCATCGAGAATGAGGTCGTCGGGCAGCAGCTCCTCCGACATGGGCAGCTCCGTCGGCGGTACAACTTCATCCCCCTCAACAAGGTGGTCCCGCCGGGGGAGCAGCGCGACCGGACGGCCCGCGCGCAGCATGTCACCGGGCAGCGCGCCCGGCCGGCCATTTCGCTGGTCTTCTATGATGAGGCCGTTTCGCCGGCCATGAAGTATGTCTTCGGGTCGACGCTGGTTTGCGACGATGCGGCCACGGCCAAGCAGGTGTCGCTCGATGACCCGGGCATCCGGCTGCGGTCGGTCACCCTGGATGGGGATTTGTACGACCCGCGAGGCACGCTGACCGGTGGATCGCGGCAAAGTGGGGCCGCCACGCTGGCCGGCCTGCACCAGCTCCAGCAGCTCCAGCAGGAGGTGGCCCGGCACCAGGCAGCGGCGGACCGGGCGTCTGCCGGGTTGCAGGCCCTGCGCCAGGCATCGCAGGACTTCCGCCAGCTCCGCCAGCAACTGAGCCTCAAGGAGCATGAGGTGGCTCTCTTCCGGGAGCAGCTGGAGCAGAGTCCACAGGGCCAGCTGACCAAGCTCCTGGAAGGCCTGGAGGCGGAGGCGGCCACGGCCAGTCGGGAAATCGAGGCGGCCGCCGGGCGCCATGCCACCGTGGCGGCGGAGGTCCTTCGCCTGGAGACCGACCTCCGAGACTTGGAAAGCAACCGCGAGGCCAAGCTCCAGAGCATCCGGCAGAATTTGGCCCGGCTGAAGCAGGAACGCGACCGCCTGTCGCAGGAGCACCAAGCCCTCGGGGGTCAGGTGGGCGTGGCACAGGCCGAGGCCGAGCAGGCTCGCGCCGATCGGGCGGAACTGGCCGCCGGGATCGACACGGCCGCCGGGCAGCTGGCCACCCTGGGCCAGGAGCTGGCGGCCCTGGAGGCCGATCTCCAAGCGCGGACGGCCGAGTTCGAGGCGGAATCCGCGCGACTCGGGGCCGAGCGGGCCCAGGTCACCCGGCTGAATGAGGACCTCCGGCGGTTGGAAAGCGTGGTCAAGGCCGGGACCGACCAGCTGAATGAGCTGGACTTGGAGACCCGGCGGGTGGAGCACGAGCTTCAGCGCTTGACGCGCGACCGGGACGAGGCCACGCAGGGGGTCCAGCGGTTGGAGGAGGCGCATCCGTGGATCTCGGAGCAGCGAGAGCACTTCGGGTCGCCGGGCGGGCCGTTCGACTTCGCGACCAACAATCCGGCCGACGCGCGCCGGCGTCTGGAGCACCTGGAGGCATCGCACAATCGCCTGGCCAAGAATGTCAACCGCAAGGTGATGACCATGTTGGAGCGTGTCGAGCGCGAGGAGCAGACCCTGAAGAACAAGCTGTCCATCGTGGTAGACGACAAGGGCAAGATCGAGACCACCATCGGCAAGTTGGATGTCAAGAAGCGCGAGACCGTGCTGGAGACCTGGCGCGCGGTGAACACGGAGTTTGGCCTCATTTTTGGGGACCTCCTGCCGGGGAATACCGCGCGCTTGGACCCGACTTCCTCGGGCGATGTGTCCGACGGTCTGGAGATCAAGGTCAACCTGGGCGGGGTGTGGAAGGAGAGTCTGACCGAATTGAGTGGCGGCCAGCGGTCGCTGGTGGCTCTGTCGTTGATTTTGGCCCTGCTCAAGTACAAGCCGGCTCCGTTGTACATTTTGGATGAGATCGACGCGGCGCTGGACCTGTCCCACACGCAGAATATCGGCCAGCTGCTGAAGCACCGTTTCCATGGGGCTCAGTTCATTGTGGTTTCCCTGAAGGAGGGCATGTTTTCCAATGCCAACGTCATCTTCCAGACGAAGTTCCGCGATGGGACCTCCACCGTGCTGCGCTTCTCCTCGGCTGCGACCAATGGTCGGGCTGGAGCGCCTGGTGGCGCTGGCCCCGACGGCCCGGCCCCACTCCTCACGGCTCAGGAGGGGTCCCAGCAGGGGCTGTCCTCCTCGTCGTCGCCCTCGCTGTCAGACGGATCGTCCTCCAGCATGGTCGAGATGTCAGCCAGTGGGTCCCACGACTAGGGTGCCTCCGTGGACTTGCTTCTCTGCTTGAAAAAGCCCCCCCCCCCCAGCAATAGACTTCACACAATTCGGCATTCTCCTGTTGCTGGCACCTGGGCATGCATTTGTGTGCCCTCCCCCCCAGGGGGGGAGAACAGGCAGGGCCAGGGCGGGAAAGAGAGAGAGAAAGAGAGAGAGAGAGAGAGAGAGAGAGAGAGAGGGAGAGAGGGAGAGAGAGAAAGAGAGGGAGAGAAAGAGAGGGAGAGAAAGAGAGGGAGAGAGAGAGAGGGAGAGAGGGAGAGA